TCGTATTAATAAAACATTATCATAAACCCTTGATAAAATTTCTCTATCAAAATTGATTTAGGTTTTTCTTTGGGTGTATGTATAAAAGTAAACTTACTCACGTCTACGATTTCATTATTTACCCATTTACTTGAAACCAAACAATTTAATAAGTCCTGCTTTATCTGTTGAACTTATCTTTTTGGGCATTCATTACTAGCCATTATTCAGAATATCCTCAATCTCTTAGATTGTATATCAAAAGAAAAATGATTGAATTAAATTGTCAAAGTTCAAAAGACATGAAAATTGAGACAAAATATTTTATAGACAACTTCTACAATATAATCGAAGAATATTCTTACACATATTCCTATTTCTTATTAAAATAGATAAATTTTAATACTCAAGTTGAATATTCATCTATTTAAACATTATTATGTGTGATATCGAACACGAACGGAATATTATTGAACGTATTTTTACATTTTCAACTGTATTACATTTTTATGACATTGTAAGTTCAATAATAAAAATTGTTTGTTTTACATGATCAATTTTTATAACAATGAGAAAAGCGTAATAGAAAAAAAACATTAAATTTACATAAATTATATATATATTAGGGTGATCGTATCCTACATTGGTAGGTTTTTGTTTTAATAATACAAGTGCCATTACCCTATAATTGATTGAGTAACAAAAAATATAATTTTGTAAAATTTGGTGATGATTGTTCTACTTATGGCGTGCCCAAAAGAGTTAAAAATAATACCCAAGGGTAGTTTTTACCTCAAAGTTTCATCTCAAAAACATTAACTTTTATGAAAAAGTTTATAAAATTTTTTTTTGTTAATGTAATATTTTTCTATAAAAAAGATATCTACAAAAATTGTTGAAAAATTGTTATTTAGCCTAACAAAAGTAAAAATGCAAATGTTCTATTTTCACCTTTGAAGAAACTATTAACTTGATTTATTTTATAAACCGAATACTGTAGAAAAAAAATGTTAACACAAAAGTTCGTTTTAATAAATTTTTCTATATATATTGTATCTAAAATTTTTTTTTACCATTTATTATTCACAAGGTATTTCAATTATTTTATGAAATTATACGGTTTTCTCAATATCTTTATAAATTTAGGAGCCACAAAATGTGCTGCTTAAATGCATTTTACCACCCCATCGAGTTTTTTCAAATTTTTTTTTTTTAATTGATTCAGATTTTTATACTGACTAAGAATATATAAAAAAAATTTGTCGGCAAAGTCCAGTTTAAAAGTTATGAGCTTTTAAAGTTTTCAACCATCATTGACAAATTTTGTTATATACTTCTGTTATTTTTGTTTTTTTGCATTAATTCATTAGAAAAAGTATTCTCGATGATTTAGTAATCGAATTTTATTTATTTAATTATACTAAAAAAAATATTTAAAAGTACCTACACGTACTTAAATAAAAAAATTTACGACGCGCCGCTCAATTCAAACTGTTGCTGAAATGGTATTGCTGATACTTTTTATACATACAGTATCAGTTTCAATTCTAACTATTTATAAAATTTTTTGCATTATTTAAATTATGATAATACGTTTTTATATTTGACAGTTGGTAACAAAGATCAAGATGCACTGTTTCTATAACATTGAAAAATAAACGATGTAATCTATAGTCTAATCTTAGTAGTTTACCAATAGATTACACCTTAATTCTTTTTCTATTTAAGTTATTTTTTCTCACTATGAACCGATGGATGTATGATAGAAATTTGTACAAATGTCATTGTGGTTTAAGTGTAAATATTCGGGATAAACCTAATAGTTATTTAGAATCCAGTAACACGCAATTTGTCGTGTGTCGTAAAGATTATACTGATCCAACGCGTTGTCGATACTTTAAATACATGGCTGAAGATTATCACAACTGTAATTGTCAAATTGTAATTGAAATTTCAATACCTAATGTAATACCTAATGTAGTATTTTTTTTTGTTTTCAACAAGTGTTAATTGATATACATAATATACAGTATAAACTTTTATTTTATTGAATTAACAATTCTAAGTAAAACACCACATCGTGGTCTTTTTTTTTTTTACTCAACTTGAATTAATTGAGTTTCTTGTTATTACTTAATTACTTATATAAAATTTTATGAAAACCCCATTTTTATTTCATATTGCGTAATTTTGATGTGCGTAGTTTTGAAAAAAAAATTTGGAAAATCCTTATTTTTAAAGTTAATTTTGGTTTTAGAATGAGGATATTATGTAATAATTACGTCATTATAGTTTCACAATAGTATTATGAGAAAAAATCCCAAAAATTAACAAAAAAAAAACAATTTTTGAGCTATTTTTAGTTTTTGACGTTTCAACTTTAAAAAGCTATAACTTTTGAACCAATTTTTTCCGACAATTTATTCAAACAATTTTGAAAAAAACATTGAAAAACACACGTTTAAAAAAAAAAATTGAAAAATCTCGATGGGGTGGTAAAATGCATTTGTTCCAAATGTGCTATGTTTATGGACTTACAACAAAGTCATTCACAAGATAAAGTTATTGTTTATTATTTTTAAACGCTTTATTCCATGTTTTTATCTGGTATACTCCAAAAGAATATTCTAATTTTACAACCAACTACAATCTTGCTATCTGATATTGAAACTTTTCTCAAAATTGAATATTATGTTCAAGTATTTTTTTTTATTTATAACTATAGTTTCTACTTATACTACTTCAAAGTTGACATTTTAATGATTGTTTTATAAAATGACTTCTACATCAAAAATGAATCTTTGGGATACAAATAAAATTTATTTAATATGGTATATGTCAAATCAAATCATCGGTAGTAAGTTACCATCAAATAAACAAGTATTGTGTGTTGTTTTTTATACTTGTAATTTTTTCTTAAAAAAGTATTAAATGAAAATATAAATTTTATTATTATAGTTTTTATGATAGGAGAAGAATAATGACAATAAATTTAATAATTTAAATAAAATAGTGAACTAAAAAAAAATTGTTAATTGTACAATCAAATTTAAAAAAATTATTATTTCATGTAAGTAAAAATTTTGGAAAAAAATAAACACTAAAAATAACATAAAATAACATAAAATGATTTAAAATGTATTTTCATATAGTGTAACGTGAAAAACAAAAACTATGATTTCGATTTTCTCGAAAATAAAATAATATCACTTATAATCCTGTGTTTTAATCATACTAAATTTAATATATATATTTATATAAATTAAAAAAAAAGGTCATTTGATTTGGTTGAAAATATAATGTTAAATTATTATTGACGCCAAGTTTAAAACTGCATTCAATTATTCATGTATTTTATTCGCATTTTATCAAAATCGATTACGTTTATCAAATCATTTTTATCTTTACCATAGTAAAATTTAAAATCGATTTTTTTCTTCTTTGAACTAACATTGTAATAAGATTTTAATAAGAAATAGGAATATGTGTAAGAACATTCTTCGATTATATTGTAGCAGGTGTCTATAAAATATTTTGTCTCAATCTTCATGTCTTTTGAACCTTGACAAATTAATTCAATCATTTTGCCTTTGATATACAATCTAAGGAATTGAGGATATTCTGAATAATTGCTAGCAATAAATGCCCAAAAAGATAACTCTTTTTGAAAATGTTCAGAAAAATTATCTCCTGTAAATATAATGTATAATATAAATACAACGATAAATTTATGTATACGAGTTAAAATAAAAACTGTTTATTTAACAAAAAAAAAATATTTTGGAGATGCAAAATTATGTAAAGGCTCACAAACCAATTGTTTGATCTATTTGAAGTTATAATGTTATTTTTTATTGGCGCCAAATTTAAAATGGCATTTAAATCACTGAAGATTTTCTTTAGGATATCATCAAAAACTTTTACGTCTATCAAGTCATTTTTATCTTTATTATAGAATATTTTTAAATCGACTGTTTTTCTTTTTTTACTAGCGTTGTAATAAGATTCTGTTAACATATAGGAATACATGCTTCCGTAGTTTCACTACTGACTATTTCTTAAGTTTAATTTGGTTTACAAAAATCATAATTGAAATAAAAGTATGTTATAAAGCATATTTTCAAAATCTATATTTATATTAGTCCTTATGCGATTAAAATATTTTAAACGGCTGTTCTAAAAAATTATAAAAATGTTACACAACCAGAAAAATTAGCAAAAGCACACGTAATAGAAACTATATTATAGTATTTATTTATATATTATACTTAGAAATCAAAGAACTACTAATCAGACTGCAATTAAGGAAATAGAAGTTGATGTTGTTTTTGGAATAATTGAACAATTTCATCTAAAATTAAACACTATCTACAGATTTGCATCGAAGAGTTTTTTATGATACTTTTTTAATCACTATCAGATTAAATCTATACTGAACCCAATTATACCACGTCTCCATTGTGCCGCAATCCCACTGTACTGGTTTTTTTAAATGTTGATGGAGAGTATAAATTTCTTATAGTAAAAATTATAATATTATTTCGACACTATAGTTTAGAAAAACAACAATTAAAAAATATTTTATTTCAGTTTTGATCTAAAATATAGTTTTAGTTCATTATTCAACACTTAAGTTTAAAATATCAAATTTAACGTGAACATTTTTTTTTTTTTTTAATAATTATATTGGAAAATTTGTTTTTCGAGCTGTTGCAGTTTTAAACTAGGGCGTCGAATTGAGTTAAAATATAAATCATACCATCGTCCATGATGAAAATATTAGCTTTAAAATAATTCAAACATTTTTTTAACTCTTGTTGTGCAACTGTGTCAAATTTTTCATTTATATTACATGATGCCTATAATTTTTTAAAAATTCACCAAAGTATTATTTTATCATATAGTAACTTAAAATTATAAAATTAAAAGTATATACATTTTTTTTGTCTTACTTACTGTAATAAAAGCTATCGCTAAAAGAAATATTTGAATCAACTTCATTATGGCTGGATAGTTATTTCTGTCAATGTTAATATTAATTTGAATCACTGTAAACGTCAAAGATATTCTATAGCACAAGATTAATAAAAAATCATAATTTATAAAATTGTGACAGTGCCGCAACAAGTGGAACCCATGAGATATTAGTGTTCAATGGCTCCCTAGCTCATAAGAGACTTAAAAAAATGGGTCTCCAATGTATGTAGAGCTCGAGCCTGTGTACTTTCCATACCCAATTTTGCAGCACTGTATAGTATTGATAATTAAAATATAATCAATAATAATGAACATATGAGTTTTAATACTTAGACGATTAATCTATTTAGTATTTCAGCAAAAAAATAACATTGAACTATGTTATATTTTACTTGTATACTAAATATTTACATGACTTACAAAAATAATGAGTAAGATAAAAGTCATACTTTCTTGTTAGTAAAATAACTCATATACCTGCAGTCTCTTGTCTGTAAATTTAAGTTATATATCAAAACCCATATTTATTTTTGATTGTTTATATTACTTTTTAGTAGGTTTAAAAATCTATTGTACAGGTAATTGGCAACATTTTTAAAAATATAAAACATAAAGTCATTTTTCTTCTCAGAAATAAATAATATTCTAAGATATTAAAAAACACTGAATCTGTCCCTTTCTTCCTCTTTAAAATTGTGTCAACTTTTGTTTTTTAAATAGAATAATTTATACTTAATTAGCATACAGAATGATAATGATCCAATGAAAAATGACCGGTATATTTAACTTTTGTACCAGCATTTTAGAGGATTATTAGCATTTTTATATTAAGGTGAGAAGAGTAGTACGATTTATAAATGCTTAAAAATAAAAGTACCTGCGTGTCACATCCAGTCACTATATTTAAATATTAAACTTCCAAAATACTGATTTGAAAGTTGTTTACGAGCGCTAATTATCTTAGTTAGATAATTTTCCTATTTTTAATTTGATTAAACATATATAAGTTTCTATTAAAAAAACATAGGTTAATGAAATTTTAAGAACAAATTGGGGAGATTTTTTGATATTTAATCAAAGTGGGTTATATTAAAGTTAAACAAAAATTATTAGAAAAACGTTTACAAGTTGTAAAATATTAGTTCAATTTTAGTTTATGAAATATACTCTTAGAAAAATGCTTAGTTGACATCAATATTTAACATTAAATAATCTATTTAAACATTTTAAATACGTCATATTCTGTTTTCTTTTGGTTGAATTTATATGAATTTGTTCATAGTTATTTTTATATTATTGCATGTACACAGTACTTAAGATGCAATATGTGATCAAAAGATTTCACAATTTCCTTTATCGTGAACTTTTTCTCGTTACTCTATCTTATCTATTTCAATAAGTTTTCTACAAAGACATACACATTGATTGTCTTTGATAACATGTGTACATTTTCATCACATGTAAACTTCCTTAAAGGCTTTCATCACACAATGTTCTTTATTTACTAAAATATGTTTGTTGATAATGTAATAGTATGTTATTAATTATATTAGTATATTATATGATGTTATATTTTGTACATGTATGTCACTTATTATGAATTTACAAGATCACCAAAGCAGGGTCCCTTCTTTAAAACATAAAATAACCAATTAATTAGGGAATTAAATCTGATTATTGCTCAGATTTAAAGTAATTTAACAATTTAACCATTTAACAATAATATATACAGCTTCCAAATCACTCTGGGGATCGTACTATCTCCTCTAACAATAATAACCCATTTTTTCCCATTGAAATCAATGCTTTCAGTAATAACAAAATACACAAATAATGTGACATTCTACTCA